GGATGGGAGGGGGGGGGGGGTGTAAAGATTGACTCGAGGGACTTTAGTCTGTCAAATTTAATTGATAACGTTATTGACGTTTCACGGTTATCGTATATGAGAGTTATGTAATTTTGTATTTATCGTAATTTTTATTTTTTTTTGTAATAAATATGTTTGTTCAACAATATATACTATTAGCAGTATTATTCTTTGTCCTATAAGCTCAGAGTACATAACGTCTACTTGAAACAAGTTGAGGGGATTGAAATGCGTAGGGGGTTGTATCCACAGACTAGCCTTCTACCGTACGTAACAATATTGGGTTCGATGCATGCTATCTACGTCAGCCCCGAGGACCACTTAACGCGGCTTTTATTCCTCGCGAGTACTTCGAGGGTTATTAAACACCAAGTAACTCGACCCTGCTTACGTTAAGGCCGTCCTCCGTGTCTATATTATTTCTTTTCGTTTTTCTTCAAAATTTCAAAGAGCACTTGATTATGATCTTTGATCCTCCACGTTGAAGCTTCTTACCTTTTTACGGAAAAGTCGTGTGTACTTAATTAAAATACCACTTTTTAACTCGAATAAAAACGTACTAAATCCTTCACTCGATTGCATAACTTTGTACTTTTACGTAAGCAGACTTTTTTTTTCATTCGATGAATATTGACTTTTTTTTTTCTTTTATGCTCACTGGTATTATCATCCCCTGAAACGTATTGTGCGTTGTGATTGAGTGACAAAAGATGCGTTCGGACGGACCGAAGGTGCCTTCAAATAGAAATCAAAAGAAAATTGAATCGTTTCAAACTTACATTATATAGATGAGCATTTCGGTGGGATTATTAGCTGCACAGTGTTATTGAGCCTAATTTTTTTCAAGGGATGAAAAAATACGGAATTGTCAAGAAATTCGTCAGAGCGCCACCGTATATTCTCATATTAGCCGCAGGCCTAAATCGGAGATGGAAAAAATGTTCATCCCTTAAAATTTTATAAGGGAACGAGGTACGCGAGTGTCTTCTGTAGCTACGGAGAAAAAGAAGAAGAATAATGAGGGGGAAAAGAAGCACGAAGTATCAGCCATTTTTGAACCAATTAAAGTAATCGACTAGCGTTAAGAGTTGCCAACTTTCTACAAACATTTGTGTCAGCCTGCTTCCCAATAATGACGAAGTTCGCTAAAGGGAGGGATTTTCATATTAGAAATTTTTCTCGTTTATGTTGAGCCGTGTAGTAAAAAAATAATTTCCTACCTACCCCACCACTTTGATTTACTTTTTACGATCTTATAATCAGTAACGGCTGTTCTTTAATGTTCATGAATAGCTTAATAAAGTTTTTTTGTAACTGAGTAGTCACAACTTTCCCCTTGGCAATACCTTGACTACCAGTAGCCCAATTCTATTTATGAGCTGAAAGGTAGCAGGTAGTTATATGAGGGTAAATACACGTAAACGCCTGCCGGACAAAATGGTCATCCAGATCAACACGGAAACCATAGGGTCCGTGCAAACTCAAATTAGCGTTCATTATTAATGGAGGGCAATATTCCAGAAGAAAAAAATGCCAGGGTCACAATCGTTTTCACCGTAATGGACAATGCTTACATCGAGTGAAGCCATTGTGGACAAATATAACTCGGGGCTTGCGTCCATTACAGACCGACGCGTGACACTGAATTGCACTTAGGGCTTGTCGATGGAAACAAAAAATGGTAAAAAGGCGAGAATCCTGCTTCAAATTCCACTTCGGAGAAGCCTAGCTGGGTAGGTAAGTACATGAAGACGAGAACTTGGGCAAGTAATAGGGGCAGTACGGAAAATTGAATTTTCCCAGGGGACGTGGCTGCATGCATAGCATTTCAACGTACCCGTTAGAATGTAAACATTGTCGATACGATGGATGGTGGGTGAGTCGGG